GATGTTTTGCTTCATATTGCTCTCCAGCAATTCCAGGAAGTAGGACAAGTTTCTGTCCTACCAGTGAGCAGCTTGGAGAAACACCCTGAGCCAATTGCATTTATGGTTGTGTCAATGCAAAGCATAGCTGTGGCACAGTGATTACTAATTATCTCCTTGGTTTTACCAAGGAAAGAAAAGGCTGTCATTTAAAAAAAAATGCAGTTTTGTTGTCTTGCTTCCTCTTTTTTTGTATGGTTGATTCCACTCAAGCCTCCCAAGAACCACGAAAAACATATGGCATTATTTCTGAGTAGTTTCCTTTATTGTTCTTCACCTATGGATCGAGTTTATAAATCCTTAGTAACTGCATCCAGTTTTGGTCACCGCATTACAAAAAAAGATGTTGAGTCTTTGGAAAAAGTGCAAAGAAGAGCAACTAGGATGATTAAAGGCCTGGAGACAAAAACATGAAGAATGGTTGCAGGAATTGGGTTTGGTTAATCTAGAGAAAAGAAGAACTAGGGGTGACATGATAGTAGTGTTCCAATGTTTGAGGGACTGCCACAAAGAAGAAGGGGACAACGTGTTTTCCAAAGTACCAGAAGGCAAGACAAGAGACAATGGATGGAAACTAATCAAGGAGAGAAGAGACTTGGAATTAAAGAGAAACTTCCTAACAGTGAGGACAATTAACCAGTGGAACAGCTTGCCTCCAGAAATGATATAGGGTCTCCTGCTTGAGCAGGGGGTTGGACTAGACGTCCTCCAAGCTCTATTCTGATTGATAGATTGAGTCTCCCAAACTAAAGCAACTATTTGCATAGTTGTAGATATACTCTGCTAGGGAGGAGCCATTTTTATCCACTTCTTTCTGACTAAACATTTCAAGTTTTGCTCTTGCTTTGCCCTCTGGAATGTAGTTTCTCTCCCACCTGGGAATCCCAACTACATTCCACCACAGCTGCACAGAAACAAAACCATTCCCCCCCCCTCACCGTTTCCCTTTATTTGATTGGAACAATGGATATAAAGTAATGCACTCTTAAATTATATAAGTTTTGCCAATAAGACTGCTTAAATATATCCCTTTGAAGTATTTTCTCATTTTGAAATTGTTATGGATGTGCCATTTGCTGTTTGTTTTATGCAGAAGCCTGCATAGAAGAGGAGAATCATCGGGAATCAGAAGCATAAGCAGCAAAATTAAAGGAGTATTCAAGAGCACCACAATGGAAGGGGCTATGCTACCCGACTATCTCCTTGCTGAAGGAGAGGATGATTTTGTGAGTTGAGCTAACAATTCTGAGTTCAGCATTGATTGTGTATTTTATTGCACACCTGCCAAGCCTTTCTGCCTTGTTCTTCCCATCCGTTCCAAGTTGTTTTTCACTTTGCCTTATGTTTGTTGACTGTCAACATAGCTTACACCATGAACATGAATTTCCAGTAATGAAGCACTTTTATTTATACAGGTAGTTCTCACCTTATGGCCACAATTGAGCCTAAAATGTCTGTTGTTAGGTGAGACAGTTGTTAAGTGGATTTTGATCCATTTTACGATCTTTCAGTTGTTAAGTGAATCACCACAGTTGTTAAGTTAGTAACCCGGCTGTTAAGTGAATCTGGCTTACCCTATTGACTTGACTTCTCAGAAGGTCACAAAAGGTGATCATATGATCCTGGGGCACAGCAGGAAAATATCGTAAATATGGGTCAGTAGCCAAACGGTTGAATTTTGATCATGTGACCATGGGAATGCTGCAATGGTCGTAAGTGTGAAAATTCATCATAAGTTACTTTTTTCAATGCCATTGTAAATTTGAACAAGCACTAAATGAACTGTTGTAAGTTGAGGACCCACCTGTATTTGGGATCATGCAGCACTTTTTCTGAATTAATCCTCCCCATCTCAGATACTTTTCAATTTGTGTGGACTTTGGTTCCTAGAATTTTCAGTATGAGTCAGCTAGCTGGGAAATTTCAGGAGTTAAAATTCACATAATTGGAGACGCCAGTGTCTGGGAGGAAGAGAGCTGTCCAAAGGAGAGAGGGGTAGGGCCAGAGGTGAAGGTGATAAGGATGTCACAACAGTTTGTTGAAAGTCCAACTCCTTTGGGTATGGATTGCATCACACACTCCTACATAGAGATGGGACTTTCATATTGCTTTTCCTACATAACTACATGCGGAACTCTTAATTCATCGTTTCAGCATTCCCCGATAAAATTAGTGAATCATATGAGGCAATATCTGTATCATATTAAGTGAAATTTTCTACAGATGTTACATACTGCATCTACAAGTATCTTGGTAGCTAGCAAAGGAATCTGTGAATATATATTTCCCCTTTCATAAAAGAAAACTATAAATGAAGGTGATTCAAATTATATCTACTAAGTGCTATTTTTAACTTTGTGATTAGTTTAGTTTGGTTTATGAAACATGCAGCTATGCATACAATTCGCCCTACATTGCACAAAATAAATATGATTTGAGGGCTGGATGCAGTACGTAATTTTTCAGGACAATTCTTATTAGTTTCCTATTTAATTCTTTCTGTTTGCTGCCCTGTTTGCTTACCTTTGGGTACAGATAGTCTTTGTTTAGTGACTGCTTCGTTCAGCAACTGTTCAAATTGCAAAAGTGCTAAAAAAAACCCAAACTTTATAATCAATGTCTAAGTTTATGATCTTCACAGTCTGCCTCAGTCACATGTTCATTCTTATTGTTAGTACACATTGTCCTTTGGCTGACCTGTTTATTCCCCCCCCCCCATAGCAATAGCAATAGCAGTTATATACCGCTTCATAGGGCTTTCAGCCCTCTCTAAGCGGTTTACAGAGTCAG